TTAAGAGAAAGAAAGAGGGAGGGAGACGGAGGGAAAGGGAGAGGAGTGTGAGAGACGAAGAAGAGATGAATGCGGGGAAAAGAAGAGGAAAAAGAGTAAGAGGAGAGGAGATGAAGGAAGAGAGGAAGCGGAGAGGAGAGTAAAGAGAGAGAGCGAGTAATAAAAGTGGTGAGTGAGAAAGAGAAAATGTGTGAGTGAAAGAGGAGTACTAACCAGGGGAAGGGAAGAAAGAAGAAGAAGAGAGTAACTGGCGGAAAAGGGGATGAAGAAAAAGAGAGGAGAGGGGGGGAGAGAGTGAGAAGAAAAGAAGAAAAAAGAAATAGTAGAAAGTACAGAAAGGGCGAAAGATTGGAGCATGACAACAGAGAGATGAGAAATTGAAGGAGAGGGACAAAGAAAGAAAGAAAGAAAGAAAGAAAGAAAGAAAGAAAGAAAGAAAGAAAGAAAGAAAGAGAGTAACCGAAAGATGGGTGAATGAAGAGAGAGGCCTGTGAGATGAGAAACGGAAGGGAGGGATGGGTGCAGGATGAGACAGAGAAGAAGAAGAAGAAGAAGAAGAAGAAGAAGAACAACAACAACAACAACAACAATAAAAGAGAAAGAACAGAGTAAGGGAAAGATAGGAGAATGAAGAGAGAGATATTGGAGACGAGAAACGGAAGGCAGGGATGGCTGAAGGAAGAAGAAGAAGAAGAAGAAGAAGAAGAAGAAGAAGAACTGTGAGAAAGAATAAGCGAAATATAGAAGAATGAAGAGAGAAATAATGGATCAGAAAATGGAGAGAGAGAGAGATGGGTGAAGGACGAGAGAGAAAGAGACAGAGAGAGGGGTTAAGAAAAAGAAAAGGAGAGAAAAAAATGAAAAACAGTTATAATCACCATTTATTCAAATAACTCATATATTGGTTACATACTGGCTATATTATCTCGTAGATTAACTAGTTCCATTAAATCATATATAACATACCAACGCAATAATAGACTACTGGAAATCGAATAAATGCTATACGGTATAAACTGTAAAAACGACAACACATTTTAGACACCTTAGCTATACAAAATAACATTAATAAAATTTCATTCAATTTCGGAATAAGCATATTAAATATATACAGCGTGCAATAGAGATAGATCCTACATAATTGTAAGACATCTGCTATATGGAGACACCATTGCCCCTAATGTATTCCCATTATGTGGCAGGTATTTCTGGGAGGTATATGTGGGAGGTATTTCTGCCTCACCCTGTCCAACAATAAATAATCAAACGACAATATACACTACAATCTGACACGTGATGACGCGATATTTAAAAAGGGAAAAAGAAGCATAATGTATGATTCAAAAACTATTTTTTTTTATTAATCCCCAATTTTATTCCTAATGGATTATGAAAGATGGTGGTGCTTAGAAAATACTGGATAATCCATGATCTAATATCAGTCAGGAACATTTTTAAAACAGTGTATGAATAAAAAAGTTTCACAGGTCTTTAATCAAACTTGCATGAATATATATATATACATATATAAGTGATTATTTTGGGGATTTAGGCTAATCATATAGTAATACGTCGAGTCTAGAATAATCCTCAACAGAATGCAGAAAGCACTGGACGGCCGTTTCGTCCTATCTAGGGCTCATCAGCAGTGCGCATCCAATACCGAGAATCGAACCCGGACCGTTTCGATACAACGCAAACGTCATACCAGCTGTACCACGAGCCGCGGAGAAGAACACATACTAGACTCGATATAGCGCCGCTATTCACTCAGTTCCGCTGCAATACTCATCCTTGTATTCAGATAACCTTGCAGCAGTGTCCCAAGAGCCACAACTGCTTTGTAAAACTGTCCGGGTTCGATTCTCGGCTGTGGATGCGCATTGCTGATTAGTTTCATTCTTTCTGCATTCAGTTGAGGATTATTCTTGGCTCGACGAAATACTATATGATTAATCTAAATCCCCAAAATAATGACATATATATATATAGAGAGAGAGAGAGATTATTTGGGGGATTTAGGCTAATCATATAGTAATTCGTCGAGCCTAGAAGAATCCTCAACAGAATGCAGAAAGCACTGGACGGCCGTTTCGTCCGATCTAGAACTCATCAGCAGTGCGCATCCATTACCGAGAATCGAACCCGGACCGTTTCGATACAACGCAAGACGTCATACCAACTGTACCACGAGCCTCAGTGACGATGAGGACACAAACTAGACTCAATATAGCGCCGCTGCTCAGTCAGTTCGGCAGCGATACTCATCCAAGAATACGGATAACCTCGGAACGGTGCCCCAAGAGCCACGTCTTCTTTTTTGACCCTTAGCCGCTCCATCGCAGAACATAAACTGGGTCTAGCAAGGATATACAAGTGATTATTTTGGGGATTTAGACTAATCATATAGTAATTCGTTGAGCCTAGAATAACCCTCAACAGAATGCAGAAAGCACTTTGAGAATTAAAAAACAAAAATAATAAACACTATCTAAACACGATAATTACCAATCGATTCCAACTCACCCAGAAGTTGTAACTGATTCCAGTTCAGACATGTTAGGAACTGAACAGATACTACACTCTGATCTTAGCTAGATGGATATAACAATAGAAAAAACAAAACAATAAGTTATCAAATTAATATACAAATTTTTGTGTTAACATGAAATTTTAAAATCTCGCTTCCCCATTTATTTGACCTTGTGTCAGACAACTAAATCACTATTTCTCCTCATTTGACTTTGTGTGGTAATTAACAGAGTCAATACCTAAAAACTGGGATTTCGAATGCTGATTTTAAACACAAGCAGACCTATTATCCTTATTAATATATTGGCGCTAGACAATCTTTTAGCCTACATCTGGCTATATCTTGAACTAGCACAGTATAGGGAATAGCGATTATTATTAGCGGTTTACATCCATTTGTCATCATTTTCACATTGTTGTTTGACAAACGCAAAAAACGGATTGTCAAAAGGACGGTTTTTCCCATGACACCGCTATTATTTTAACTACCTCCACTCCTTGGCAATGATTTAAAAAGACATGATTAGAATTGTAATAAAATCTATATATATAAGTGGATTTATATATTTTCATTGTTCAGGTAAGATGAGAACGAATAGATTACAATTCCAATGTTCGTAACATTTAATTTAAAAGAGAGCTCAATATAAAGTAGAGCAATATTCTTTATTTTAGGATATTACATCGAAATCATGTCAAAATCGCTACACAATTGCAGTCGTGTTTCGATGTGCATCAATGCATCTCTTCAGGTGATTGTAAATTAGTGAACGATTTATTTAGATTTAAAAGCAAAAGACAACTTCTTTTTACATTGTTCTTGGGAAATGACAATAAAAATAATAAACATTATTTATTTATTAAATAGTTTATTTACACAATATATTATATTGTTTATTGGAATGGTCGTCAAAACATTACCAATTGATTCAAAATTTATAAAATGATAAATAACAATGAATTTCTTTTAGTTGGTTCACATATTTTAATAATTTAGTAAATGTTTATAAATTTATGAATAAAAATTGTTTTCGTATTTATTTCTTTATAAATTGGTAAATGATAAATATTGCATTAGTTTTAATTGTATTAATTTTAGAATATTGTAAATATAAAATTATTCCTTCAAACAAACAATCTAATACATAAATAATTCCACCACCTGCACACCCAAGCTTACAGAACTTGGTATATTATCTACCAATCCCATAACTAATGAACACGAAAGAAATTGAACTAATTTCAATATAAAAATTATCAGAAACATTTCAATAACAGTTAAAATTCCAATCAATGTAATTGAGTGAAATTAATTTTGCTTCAGAAACACTAACGTTATTCGAACTTCATAAAATGGTAACTAATAAGAATTTCCTTTGAGAAGGTTCACAGATTTTGATAATTTAACAAATGTTTATAAATTTATGAATAAAAAATTGTTTTCATATTTATTTCTTTATAAATTGGTAAATGATAAATATTGAATTGCATTAGCTTTAATACAATTGTATTAGTTTTTAAAATGTTGTGAATATAAAATTCTTCTTCTAAATAAACACTCCAATAAATACTAGTGCTTAATATTTTTGCTGTAAATTCTAAAGAATTAAAAAATGTATTGATTTATTTATTAGCAATTTAGGTTTCATTACAATTCCTTACAATAAGTCGCTTTCTGAAACGATAAACATGAATAAAGGGAGTTAAAATATTAGTGGCGTCAAGGCAAAAAAAGGTTTTGGGGTGCACGAAGATTAAAAATTACCGGATGAATATTAGTAAAATAAAATAAATAACTAAAAATAAAGAAGAAATAAGATAAAACCGTTCCTAAAATTACTCAGCAAGAGCCTGCTAATTGTTGCTGCTAATGTCTCTGAAACTAGACCAATGTTTCTACTATCTTTGTTCGCTTCAAAGGTCAGGTCAGGAGCGAAGGTTCTACTACTGGTACCATATAATCACATAGGCTCTTTAGCCGTGGAAAGCAACTCACCTAAGGGAAAGAAAACCCTGATCCTAAATCTCTACTGCCTTGTGTGATACCACTCATAGTAAAAGCTTCGGGAGTTAAACCTTAGATAAAAACACCGCAGATGGATCCGCTAAGGCAGATCGTCGCTAAATTCAGCCTCGTTTTGGCAGCTCCTGCGACGGCTCCGGTGCCAAAATGTAATGACCCTGCTCTTTCTTTTGGGTCCATCAGCGTCGCGCAGAGGGAGGAGATATGCTGCCTGGGCAATATCTTGTCCTCCACACCATCCTGCCCAGGCTTGAACCCACGTTACGCCTAACACTGGAACGACTTATGCGACAGAGACTGCCGCTCACACACAGGCAGCAATGTTCCAGAGTGGCAGACGGGTAGAATCAAATTCATAGTCATTGATGACTGGCGGAGGTCTACTATTGATTCGCTTCAGCTCAGATGCATACTGCTGATCCATCGTAGTATTATCATTCTCTTTATATGAAACTAAACAGCAACATCCTGCTAATCGCTGCTGCAATTATGAATTAACTAAGCAAAATGACTACATTTTAGCAGAAATCATTTTCTTTAAACGGGTGTCTTTTGGACGCCTTTCAATAGTGGATTCATTTTAGGCCGTTTTTCAAAATTGGACCCACTTTATGCCGCTTTCCAAAATTGTGCCGATTTTAAGCCGCTTTTCTAAATTAGAACCATTTTAGGAAGATTTTCAAAACTGGGCCCATTTTAAGCTGCTTTTCAAAAATGGAACCATTTTAGGCAGATTTTCAAAATTGGGTCCATTTTAAACCGCTTTTGAAAAGTGGACTCATTTTAGGCCTTTTTTTCAAAATTAGGCCCATTGTAAGCTGCTTTTCAGAATTGGAACCATTTTGGGCAGATTTTCAAAATTCGGTCCATTTTAAGCCACTTTTCAAAAATGGACTCATCTTGGGCCGATTTTCAAAATTGGAACCATTTTAGGCAGATTTTCAAAATTGGGTCCACTTTAAACCGCTTTTGAAAAATGGACTCATCTTAGGCCGATTTTCAAAATTGGAACTATTTCATGCGGCTTATCAAAATAAGTGACATCATCTGCTTACCAAGCATCGGCCTTCATTTTCCTTTCAGCAGCTTTTCAAAATAATTTCTCTCATTTTAAACTTATTCCGTTACAATTTTAAGGAAAAGCCATTTCGAATGTCTAAGGTGCATAATAGTCGATAAACCTTGATGGCTGACATCGTCAATAAGAGAAAAAAAATGTCCATTCTTTATTAGGACCCCACAAAACGTGTACAGCTACAAGTAAGTTTTCAGATAATTCCATCAACCTTATTGGCCAGAAGCAGTACACCTGACCTTTTAATTATAGCCCAACGGCAGACATAATTGTGGTCTGAAACGAGGTCGAGTCAGGTCGAATCACGAAACAACGGCAAACCATGTCTTTACGGATAAAGAATTTAAAAAGAAAACACTTTATAGACAGATAGATAGATAGAGAGGGAGAGAGAGAAAGAAGGGCGGAGGGTAAGATAGATAGATAGATAGATAGATAGATAGATAGATAGATAGATAGATAGATAGAGAAAGAAAGAAAAGAAAGATAGATAGATAAGGAGAAAGGAGGAAGGGAAAGAAAATAAAGAAAGATAGAAAGAAAGAAAGAAAGAAGGGAACAAACCAAAATAGATAGATAGAAGGATAGATAGATAGATAGATAGATAGATAGATAGATAGATAGATAGATAGAAAGAAACGAAAGAAAACGGAGGGGGTAAAAACAGATAGATAGATAGATAGATAGATAGATAGATAGATAGATAGATAGATAGATACGGTGGGAGAACGGGATGTAGATACATAGATGAAAGAAAGAAAGATAGATAGATAAAGATAAAGGGACGGAGGGATAAGATAGATAGATAGATAGATAGATAGATAGATAGATAGATAGATAGATAGATAAGGACGGTGGGAGATACGGAAGATAGATAGATACATAGATGATCATGGAGGATAGATAGATAGATAGATAGATAGATAGATAGATAGAACCCAGCGGCGGACATAATTGTGGTCTGAAACGAGGTCGAGTCAGGTCGAATCCCGAAACAACGGCAAACCATGTCTTTACGGATAAAGAATGTAAAAAGAAAACATTTTTTTTCGAGCACTACGTGCAACACGGGTCGCGTCTCGAGCTGGCTGTGGACTCTAAGCGCCTTTCCACCTTCAAATACTGGATAATTACGAAGGGATCCCACCGCTAAATCTGACTCAGAGCCATGATTTCAATGGACGGTCCCAGTAATTAGGTTTTGATGGTTGTGTCTGGGTTTTTTGTTTTCACCTTGAGATTGTTGAATGGAGTTCGTTTGGGATTCTCACGGCCCCTGGGTAACAATTACTGAGTTGACGCGGGTAGGGTGGGACACAGGGAGCTTGTGGATAGAGCGTGGGTGGGGAGTAAAGAGAATCCAGCAATAAAAAGACGTTCTGGTTAAGCAAAGTAATATTAGCTTTATTTATGATTATGATTATGCGAGAGAGGGGGAGGAAGAAATTCAATTGAATGCGAGATGTGAACATAAGGAAAGATTGATAAGGGACGAGGATATATATATATATATATATATATATATATATATATAGAGAGAGAGAGATAGATAGATAGATAGATAGATAGGAGAGAGGGGAAGATAGATGATTGATAAGATAGAAAAAGAGAGGAAGGAAGATAGATAGATAGATAGATAGATAGATAGATAGATAGACAGTGATAGATAGATATGGAGATAGGGATAGATAGATAGAAGATAGGAAGAGGGAAGATAGATAGATAGATAGATAGATATAAACTGATGCTAAAAAATTTCCAATTCTGGCTTTTATTCTTGCTATAATAAAATCTCTCAATTCTCTTCTTAAAGATCATCTTTGACAGAATAAACCGAAAACAGATTCAAATGTGTGTGTGTGTGCTTCTATGTGACCAACCCCGGACCTTCCGATCTACTTTCCATGGCATCTAACTTGGAACCTCCGTATTTCCACCCTCTTCGTCACATCTACTTGCCGTCCATCAATCCATATTTACCGAAAACACTCTCCTCCACTTTTCAATATTGGTTTCCTTACGCTCTTATTCAAGTGTCACAGCGTCTAATCTCCGAAATTCAGGAAGTGACCTTTAAGCAATAATAATAATAATAATGCATAAGCAAATATCCTCAAGACAGCAAAGACGGATGCAACCGACCAGATACAGAAACGATGGCAATATAAACCGCTTCATGGCCAATACTCTGCCCGTACCAAACAAGCTGACGTAGACAAAACCCGTACCCATCAGTGGCTACGTAGTGCAGGGTTGAAAGCTGAAACTGAAGCTTTTATCATTGCTGCGCAGGACCAATGCTTGTTAACTAGGAATTATCACGCACATATACTAAAATATTGTGTTAGCCCAAAATGCAGATTCTGTGATAAATATCCAGAAATAATTGATCATGTTGTATCAGGTTGCACGATATTGGCACCCACTGAATATAAAACCCGACATGACAGAGTGGGCCAATATCTGCACTGTAAAATCTGCAACTTCTACGGGAAGAAAACTGAAAGAAACTGATATGAACACCAACCAGACCCGGTTACGGAGATAGGACCTGTTACAATTCTATGAGACTACACAATACCCACTGACAGAACAATCAAAGCCAACCGCCCGGATATTGTTATTAAAGACCACAAACAAAAAAGTGCCTCCTTATTGATATGACAGTCCCTGCTGACTGCAATGTATCTTTGAAGATATTCAAAAAGCTGTCAAAATACAAGGACCTTGAAATAGAAATCTCGAAAATGTGGCATATGGGAATATCAACAATCCCTGTTGTAGTCGGAGCCCTAGGACTGGTTGGAAAAGATTGCAGTAGACTAATTGAAGGGATTTCTGGAAGTCCATGCCTCAAGGAGATGTAAAAAATTGTTCTGACAAGTACAACCCACACTTTACGAAGGGCTTTATCTATGTAATTTTTTTTTTTTTTTTTGTCAGTGGAAAGTGTCATGATGTCATTTCTAACCTTAGGTCCCTGGGCGGGACCCGGAAAGAAATGTGTAAACGCCAGAAATCAAAGAAAATAAAAATAATAATAATAATGGATAAGTAAATATCCTCAACTTCACAAACGAAATCAGAATAACACAAATTCGTACAAACTTTTGACAATCAGAATAAACGCTTTCCCAGCGATTTAATCGCGCAGTAGAACGTCCTTAGCATGAAGGTTGTCAGAGTTACCTCCTCTTTAATTCCCTAATTGTCCACTAGGGGACGCTCTATCTACATTATAAATAATGTTCGACTTCTTGCCTCGTTCTCTTTTTCATTTCTTCATTTCAGCGACTACAATGTAAGCTCTCTTAGAAGATAGCGTCTTCCCATTTGTGGGAGATGCCGTGAACATTACACATATACGTAAGTACGAACATTCACCAAAATACAAATTCTTTACGTTCACACAAAAGCACAAATGTCTTTGTCACTTGTCAATTTTTTGTTTAATACATATATTTGTTGAGATATATATAGAGATCGGTCTTGTTTGTTTTCTTTACACCTTTGGTTGGACTCAACTCAGTGACGTATCTAGAATAAACGTCACCCGGGGCTGTCCGCTCAAATGTCACCCCAATGACCCCGATTCACCCTATGCTGAATGGTTAGCTGTAGCTAAATTTTCATACATGCTCTACCTCTACTTTACTCTACTGACCGGTACGTTACTGCTTACATGTATGATCCAAGACAAAATCCAATACCACAAAATAATCAGTTCAAATCAAAAGATTTTTAAATGCAACTGTTCACTTTCAGAACAACTAAATACAAAACACGGCAATACACAAAAATGACATTCGACATTCGAAAATGAATGTTTTCTTGTTTTCAGAATGAAATTGGTAAAAAAATCTGTTTTTTGGCTCGTTTTCAATGGACAAACAGCCAGATAAAAATTTCTCCGATGGCTCCAATTTTCTGTTGCAAATTTTCCGGTGTCCAATTTTCCGTTGCATCATTTTCTTACCATTTAATTATCAATGATTATTTTTTCTTAACAAAATGTTCATTTAATTTTTAGATATATTCAAAAGTAAATCAACTGCATTCTTTTAAAGGCTCAATGCAAAATTTTTTGTTTTTCTTTATACAAGTAAAATAAATTTACATCAGGCAAGACTGAAATTTTTGACAATTTAAAAACAATAAAGATTTATTTCGCAATAATGGAAAATTGTTAAAATTTAATTATCGTTTTGGAATGAAAAGAGTTAAAACACCATTCCGATACCCCCAAAAGTTCCGATTTTTCCGATTCTCGATTCCGATTAATCGTCTCTAGTAGATATATTCAAAAGTATATCGCTCCTCATTGGAAAATTGTATCTCAGCGAATTGAACAGGCAAGACTGAAATTGTTGCACTTTTGGCTTCGTATTTGCTTTGTTGTTATTAATGATTTTCCATATCATCCGATAAAATTTCCCAATGTCAATTTATAAGAAAATTTTCTGAAACACATGGGGACAAAACATTGCTATTTTTTCCACTAAAAATTTCTGGGACAATTTATTAGAAAATTTCTGCCCAGCCTGCAAAACCCTGTGTCTCCACCACTGTTTTCAGACTAATTTTGGCACCTTAGCCTGGTTGAAAAAATTTTGTTGGGGGTGACATTGTGTCACCCCCCTCCTGCAGGCCTGGGCGGTCCGCCCCTCCGGGGCGCCACTGACTCAAGTCCGCATTGCTCTTGTAGTTGGACCTTCTAGCAGGTATAAACAGCATGTGTTCTTAATTCAACAACACTCAAACCCAAACGAGTCCTCTACAAGGTTAAATAGGATAAAAAATAGACCCCCAAGAAAGGAATGGTGACCGTTCAATCAAAATGCTGCACAGAAGTTTCGACCGTCATACGCCCACAATCTTCAAAAATGTAAACACAAGGTCAATCGACATATTCTACCTTACTGAACCCTGTTCTGTTGTTGCCCTTTCGCCTAGTTAAATTTGGCATGCAGCCATCTCACGTTGATCACCGATGTTAAGCAACGTTGAGCTTGGACAGTATCTAGATGGGTTACCACTCGCGAATACCAGGTGTTGTGCGGGTGGCGTAACAGATAACAGCTCGAGATGATAAGAGTTCGAATTCCAGTCGGGTTCACTTACATGCAAATACCATTGGGAAATATACAAATCCAATACTTTCCCCCCAACTATGAGTTAAATAGTATCAGATTTATATCAGAAAATGGTTACTTTCCCCAAAGAAATTCTTACAATCCCAAAATATGTTTCGGCTGCAAATAAACTTAATAGGTTGATAAACCGTAAAAAACAATCCATCATTCGTCATTAAAGTCTTATTTTTCCCTTTCACTCCCAGCACCCCCTTGCGTCTTAGTGGAATTATCCCCTTGCTTGGGGTAAATAGATTTCTTTTTTAAGTTCGGTAAAGAAAAAGACGGCCAATGTTTGGATAGCGAATGAAGTTTTGAAAAGTGGTTTAAAACGAGCCCTCAATATGGTAATTTTTTTTTTTTGACAATAGAATTTACCTCAAGCAAAGGTTGTAAAGCCACTAAGACGCAAGGGGGTTACTGGGTGTGGAAGAATTAAAAAACAGAAAAATTACTAAGGAGAGAGAACAATAGAAGAGTAATCAGGAAGACAGTAGATAACGATTGACATTGCATTTAAATGTTTGAAGATCAAAGTTAGTTGGAAAGCATGGAGCCGGAAAAGAGTTCCGCGAGAAAGAAGTGCGGGAAAAGAAACTGTTGGCAGAGAACTTATAGTTGAATTTGGCAAATTCAACTGGGAATTGATGAGACCTACCTGCCAATCTAGTACTGCGCTTAAATTCATAAAGTCTAGGTACCATAGCGAAGAGATCGTCTGAACAATTATCATGAAGTTATTTACAGAAATGGCACAGGGAAGCTACATTACGGCGGTGGGAAAGTGACTGAAGCCGAGATGTCAGATCAGGGCCAATAATATTGCTGATTCTTCCGTGGATTTAATGAAGAATCTCTAAATATTGAAGGAGCACCGGACCATATGTGGCATCAATATTCAAAGCATGGATGAATGGTAGACTTATAAATATTTAAGATAGATTCTGAAGAGAAACATTGCAGATTCCTCTTTTGATTTTATCAAGAATCTCTAAATATATAGCAGGAGCACCGGACCATATGTGACAGCAATATTCAAAGCATGGATGAATGGTAGACTTATAAATATTTAAGATAGATTCTGAAGAGAAACATTGCAGATTCCTCTTTGGATTTTATCAAGAATCTCTAAATATATAGCAGGAGCACCGGACCATATGTGGCAGCAATATTCAAAGCATGGATGAATGGTAGACTTATAAATATGTAAGATAGATTCTGAGAGAAACATTGCAGACTCCTCTTTGGATTTTATCAAGAATCACTAAATATATAGCAGGAACACCGGACCATATGTGGCAGCAATATTCAAAGCATGGATGAATGGTAGACTTATAAATATTTAAGATATATTCTGAGAGAAACATTGCAGATTCCTCTTTGGATTTTATCAAGAATCTCTAAATATATAGCAGGAGCACCAGACCATATGTGGCAGCAATATTCAAAGCATGGATGAATGGTAGATTTATAAATATTTAAAATAGATTCTGGAGAGAAACATTGCAGATTCCTCTTTGGATTTTTATCAAGAATCACTAAATATATAGCAAGAGCACCGGACCATATGTGGTAGCAATATTCTAAGCATGGATGAATGGTAGACTTATAAATA